TTTGCATGTCATTTGTTCCATATATTGATTGTTTTCCTATCAGAATATTAAAATATAACAACAATATGCTACACCACAGTGTCCATATGTTTACAATTCCAATATGGCTAAAAGGAATCTATTTCGATTCAAAACTAGTCTTTCTTCAGAAGTCCTTTTTGGCACTGGGCTGATAGCAGCCACACAGCCAGAAAAAGAAGAAGCAGGGAATATTGTTGCTGCCAGGACAAAGTCTCAGAACCTGGGTAGGTTTGTAGGAGGAAATACAGTATTTCACATAACTTGAACCTAACCCACAGAGGGCTTTATAAGTCATAACCAGCACTTTGAATTATGCCCAGAAGCAGACTGATGGCCAAGTGGAATTGTTACAACAAGGGAGTTGTATGCTCCCTAAAACCAGCCCCAGTCAACAATCTGGCTGCAGCAATCTGAGCCACCTGAATCTCTAAGCACTTTTCAAAGGCAGACCCATGTAAAGCATGTTACAGTAATCCAAACAGGATGTAACTAAGGTATGTGTCACTGTGGCCAAACCAGACATCTCAAGGAACGGGCACTAGCTGGTGCACTAGCTTTAACAGTGCAAATGCACACCTGGCTTTTTCAGGCATCCGTGCTCAGGGCTGAGTGCAGGAGCACACCCAAACTGTGAACCTGTGTCTTCAGCAGCAGTGTTACCCCATCCATCACAGGCAGAATCCCAATTCCCTTTTCTGCCTTCTGACTGACCAAGAGCACCTCTGTCTTGTCTTATTTGTAACTTGCAGTTGGCCTATGGGTAGTAGAGGAAATGCCGTACTAACAACAACTGCGTGGCAATAAGCATCGGTATATGTTAAAGAGACCAGTGTTCCTGACTATTGGGTGATGCAGTGCATTGCTTTGAAGTTTTAAGAGATGTCGATGGAAGAAACATAATGGAAGAGAGCATCTGTGCCAATTCAATTATTGAAATAGGATTCACATGGGAGATGATCTTGGCGAATTGCACTCCAGCAAACACTTTCAGGATGTTTATTAGTTTTCAAGCAACCGTAAAGCTTAAACCAGATGAAGGTACTAAACCGTCAGATTGTGAACAGTTCTCATAAAACTATTGCATAGACTCATTTGGGGAAATGTGTCAACCATCAAGCACAAATGGTTATTTGCATGGGGTAGCTGTCATGACCAGGTGTCAGTTGCTTAAATTAGTGAACTGAACACCCCCCCCCAAAAAAAAAAAAAATCTTTGGGTGCCTCTGGAATCTCTGTCTTCATTTTCAGGGTGGGCTGAGCCATCCACCCCCCCCCCAAAAAAACCTGTTGTGGTGGAGTGGGTTTGGATGGGTCAGAAATGTCCTTCCACCCAGCCCTGCCTAATTCTGCAAGCATAAGAGCTCTGCTTTCAGTGGAGACGTATCACTAGGAAGAAACACTCCAATATGCCCATCAAATGGGGAATGGTAGAATCTACTGCTGGTGGCAGTGACCACAAAAGTCATGAAATGGGTGGGGGCAGGGCCTGTGAAATATACTCGGAGTCGAGAGTGGATTTCATGCTCTTTATTCAGCTCAAAGTGGTGAGGAGGAATGGAAGTTCCCCCAGAATGTCTGCCTTATATACATCATTTACACAATGGGCCCCACATGATTGGCTAATTCCGAGATTCTCCTGTAGACCAATCAGGTTGCGGATTCCCTTCCACCTGGAGCTGGATTGAGTGGCTCCTGTGGACCAATCAGACTGCTGCATTCTGGATCCTATTGTTCTAGGACCAATCAGACTGCTGCATTCTGAATCCTATTGTTCTAGGACCAATCAGACTGTTGCCTTTTGGATCCTATTAAACTCAGTACAAAGCAGCCTGGGTGGCACAGGACCTGCTGCCACCACACCACATTTTCTCTGCCCATCCTCTGTTTTGGCTGGCACAAACTCTGGCTGCACTGCTCCATCAGGTCTTGCCACTGCCAGCCAATGGCATACGATGCCATGGTCTCCACCCCACCCCAGTGCAGAATATAGCAATTGTCGTTTGAAGTGTGCTATCAGACTCCTAATGTAGATACCCATATTTCAAATCTTCGCCGCAGAAAGTAAATGAGCGCTGTAACTAAGTATCCTCATTCTCCAAATTTGTTTCTTATTACAGACAAATAGCTACATAAATAGAACGTGAAGGGTGCATAAATAAACAATCAAGTAAGAAAATGGCAAAGTTAAGACTGGGCGCACACCATTAACTCAGATCTCTGGTGGATATATGGTTGCACTTTTAAATCCTGACTGCTAATTCCGAAAGAATATGTCAAGTAATTCAATCTATCATCGCTGCTCTCGAAATGCAGACGCAAGTAGCTGTAATTTCCCTCCCACACGTTCCTTTGATGGCCTCAGCCTAGTGGCAAGGAGTTCAGTATAATAGTGCACTTTAATAACGCAATGTGCAATGGTACAGCTCTTTCTCACCAAGGACGAATGTGGAATGGCTGAGCCAGCTTTATGTACCAGTTAGCCGGTGGATCTGATAACCCTGACATCGACACCCACAAAAGACAAAAAGTATTGCAGCTTGCAATTCAAACCTGCAGCTACTTGATAAAGGGCACGAACAACCAACACAATTCAGATAAACAGAAGCGATAAAATCAGACAATTTTTGCCTGTAATGGAAATGCTGAAGCCAAACTGATTAGAAATCGTTATCATAAGATGAATACTTGTATATAAAGCCAATCAAATATTAGGTGGAGAAACAATCAAGCGGACGGCAGAACAGAATCATTAAACAGCACTTTGAAACCAGGCACCTGGCTCTTTGTAATTCCAGAGATAAACGTTGTTACTACTGTGTAGAACATTAAAAAAAGAAGTCTAGACCATAAAGAAATGCAACTTTTCCCTTTCTTTCAGTGTTCTAATATCTCACGATGTCTTTGTGGATCTGAACTTCATTTTTTAGAGACTGATATACATCAGAATGCTCAAACCATTTCATTTAGATTTTCAGTCCATTTTTGCCCACCCCTTTAAAAAGTGCAGAAGAGATACTACTACATTTAAAGCAAACACACCGAGCGAATGTGGATTAGAACCAGGTGCATGTACACTGCCAGATTTCTACTAGAACTCCTGCCAGATAGTCCCCTGAAACAGGAAGGTCTAAAGGTAAAGAGGAGTCATATTGCTGGTAGAAAGGAGAATATGGTTGATTCTGGAGTGGTGTGCAAACTATATTACCTGTCCACCTGGGCATAAAAAGTTGGGCAAAGTGATTTTTCAAAGGCAGCATCCTCTAATCCAGGGTGGGTACCACATGGTCCACCATATGTTGTTGGACCAACTCACATCAGTCCTTGCCAGTAAGGTTGGTCCAGGATGATGGGAATCATAACAACACCTTGAAGGCCACAGGTTCCCAGCCCTCTCATACCCAAACTAGATATGATGTTACACAATTGAGTGCAATTAACATGCAATTGTTGTTGTTTTATATCCAAATAGCACTGGAAGCAACAGCAAGACCCCGCATGACCCATACACTCCCAAAGCTGGAATTATTTATTTTTCAATTTCAGAATAAACGGATACAACATACAGCAGGCAGAAAGGAGCTTTCAGCAATGTGTAACAGGGTGAGAAGGAGAAGGCAGTGATCCTTAGTGGAAGGCAGTGTGGTATAGTGACTAGAATGTTGGACTACGATCTAGGAGACCAGCGTTCAAATTCCCATTCAGCCATGAAGCACACTGAGTCAGTTTCTCTCTGTCAAAAACACCCCACTGGGTTATTAGGAGGATACAATGAGGAAAGTAAGGCCATGTAATCCCACCCCGGAGCTCCCTGGGGGATTAGTAAGAAATGAATGTTCTTAAATAAGTTTTAGGGGGTGCTACAACCACACAGATCCCTGTTTGTTGTTGTTGTTGTTGTTGTTGTTGTTGTTGTTGTCTGTAAAGCATCGGAAGGTGCGAGTTTTATAGATTGTGCTTCTGATAATTTTGAAAACCACTGGTTTGAAATGCTATCCGGAAGGACTCAAAAGGATCCACAGGGCAAAGACAAGATGAATGCACTCAGTCAGTGAGGTGGGGTAACCGGCTGGAAAATAAGAAGATGTAATGTGAATCAAACAATAGTTTTGGGCTTTCTTATGTACAGAATAAAGCCTGCATGAAATGGATTACCAATGAAGTCACAGCAAGTGCAACTGAGAATGAATTTTAAAGCAGTCGAAAGAGTGTCTTTACGAATACAAATGATGGCTTGTGACGATTGTCTGTGAGAAACAACAAGGAAGAGCAAGGCTGCATATGAAAAAGATGCACCATTTAGCGGAAGAAAAAGTCTGCCATAGCCAGCAATTTGTCATGCCAGAAACTCTTGGCAGCTCTTGTCTAAAGAGATGGGGGCAACTTGTTTCAGCTAAAGGCTGCATTTCCTTCTAGGCCACACCCCATCTTCCCAAGACACAACCCTCACTTTTCCCCGAGTGAGTGAGTGAGGTTAGTTGGTAAGTTAGTTTGTTAGTATGCCATCCTTCATCTGAAGATCACAGAGCGGGGACTTCCAGGGGAGGAACACAGCAGGCTAAATACCTTCTGTCAACAGCTCATTGACAGAGATAATTATATGGTTATTAAAGATAGCCAAGTCATTATTCTTGCATGTCAGATTTGCTCAAGGAAAAGAGAGTGTACAAGGGATCAACCTCTGATGCTCTGTAAAAGCCGCTTTCTATGTTCAGGAGATTGAGAAACGTGGGCTCCTAGAAACTTCGATTGGGAGTGAGTGACTTAGATTGAGGAAATAAAATTGTGCCCCCAAACCACGCATTAGCCCTCAAGGCATAAGGGAAGCAGGCCTTCATTTCTCTAACTATCTTTATGACACCTCGCTTTGTGGGAAAGGAACATGGATTAATAAGGAAAGCTGTGAAGACCCTAAGGTGAAGACGGGAGATGAAAGTTCTTAAAATGGAGTTGAGCTGTTAATAAGACCAAGAACACCCAATATGGCAAATACATCCTTGGACACTCCATTGACTGTTGGCATCTTAATATTGGAGGAACAAATAAAAGAGATCAGAGCTGGGATTGATGAAATGGTGAATGAAAATGGACCACAGAAGGATAAAATGGAAAGTGGATTTAAAGAAGACACAGAGGCTTTGAAGAACCTTATTGATAAAGGATTGCCAGTACAGGAGAGTGAAATGGTAGTGCTGGAGGCAGCAGATGATGAAATGGAGAAGTCCTTCACAACAGGTGTCTACAGCAATGAAACAACCAAATGGCAGAGCTGTGATATTGGAGGACTAGGATGAAGCCCTGGATGGAGAGGTGAAGATACATACTGAGCTGGCTGTCATGGGCCAGGAGTCGGCTTCACCTGCTGAGCAGCAGCCTGGAGCAGAAGTTGAAGTGACTCCACCTGCTGCTGATCAGCCTTCTTGCTCCTGATGAGAACCAGCTGGCTCTAGCTTTCCCAGCCTCAAGTCAGTTGCTGGAAACAACATTTGTTATTACTGCTCAGACCTTGCTGCTTCTTGCTTCTTGTGACCTTGGACCCTTGGCTTTCTTGACTCCTGGATCATCTGACTACATGAACTGAGATACTCCTGACCTTAGAACTGGACCTTGTATACAGACTCTGCCTCCAGGCAAGTACCTCCCTGAGGCTTGGGTGGTTGGCTGGCTTCTCCCTCCACAGAGCTCTGCTGTTACTGGCAGCACAGGACTACAACACGGACAGAGTGAGAGTTGAGAGAGAAAGGACTCTGTGTACAATTTGGATTAAATTCAGAGGAAAAAGCTACCAAGGTTTTCTTGGGAAAAGAGTGGAAGGAGCATAAATGGAAGAGATGTTTTTTTAAAAAAAAAGATGGAAAACCACAGCAAATGCAACAAGAAATAGGACTTGAAGATATGGAACTGGATGTGAATTAATGAATACACAATAAATAACTACAGAATATTATTTTAACATATGACCATATTGGAGACACCCTTATGTGAACAAAGACAAAAAGATTTATTATTCTTTAATATGGAGACAAGGTTGCTGAAGCTACTGGAGGCAAAGTTGTTAGGTATGGTTAGAGAAAAATATTGTTGATATTTATTAATAATAATAACTAGAGAACTCCTTATGGACTTTGTGTGTGGAAAGGAAAATTAATGTATTTGAATGGCATGGATGTGCAAAAAGCAAATATTCAGCTCACAGTGAACTAATAGTTCTGTAGCTGATAGTGAGCTAAATGAACATCTGTACACAATCCTATATGTGCCTGATCAAGAGTAAGATACATTTAGTTTAACAAGGCTTCCTCTCAAGCAAGTGAACATGGGACTGTAGATATAGTGGATTTGAGCTGAATTTGAGCCTCTACTGTTCACAATTTTAAAAATTTTTGGTCGTTTTAAAAATCAGATTCTTATGCAGATAACACTTGCTTGTATGGCTTTCATCAAACTGCTTTTGTAAAGAGATGTTGCCCATCTGTGATGAGACACTAAATTCAAGTCTCTGAAAGGCGCAGAGATGATTTTGCAATGTATTAGTATATTTCCAGTTCTCATTTGGGACAACAGGTGCTTGGCTTTAATCACTGGCTTTGATTTGATTGTTTTTCATCCTGATAATTCGGTTGGTTGGCTTGCAAGGTGGTATGTTATCATCTTGATAGAAGATTGCACCAACCTCCCACTCTAATCCTTCACTACCACCACTAACAGTATTTGGAGCTGTTTCTGTTTGGACTGTACATTGATGCTGCATGCTAATCCTCAAATCAAAGACATCAGAGGACAAATGGCTTAAAAAAAATTAATGTGATAGGAGAAAAATATTCCCCAAATAATTAGCCCAATGAGCAGCCTACTGGCCCAACACCAATTATTGCTCCACAGGCATCTATATCCTCAAGCAGAGGCGCCTGAGTGTGATACTAGTACGGTGCATGAGGTCAGATTCCTATAGCTAGCAAAGTTCAAGGGTGACCACCAGATGCAAAAGAGAACAGGCCCCCTGCTCCCTTAACAGTTGCAGGGGTGAGATTTTTTCCATTTACTGAAACTTCATTTTCTCAGGATCTGTTTGAAACCCAGGACTCTTGTCGTCCTTTGAATCTGTTCACCCTGCAGAGATTGTCAAAAGCAACCTGTTAGTTGTATTTTCAGGCTGTGTACCCGCTATCCCATTTGTCACACAACAATGCAGTTTTTTCTCATTCCAAAAGAGTTCACGCTCATCTTCAACGTGCTGCTTTCAGTCTAGATTGATCAGTAGCTCAGTTGGTTAAGAGCGTGATGCTGATAACGCCATGGTTGCAGGTTTGATCCAGTTGCATATTTCTGCATTGCAGGGAGTTGAACTAGATGATGCTCAGAGTCCCGTCAAAATCTATGATTCTGTGACTTCTAGATCTTGCCTTCTATAGGGGTGGGTGTGGTCACTTGGGACACATTTGAAAACTCCCCTTGATCAGGTTAGGTAAAGGGACCCCTGACCATTAGGTCCAGTCGTGGCCGACTCTGGGGTTGTGGTGCTCATCTCACTTTATTGTCCGAGGGAGCCAGTGTACAGCTTCCGGGTCATGTGGCCAGCATGACTAAGCCGCTTCTGGCGAACCAGAGCAGCGCATGGAAACGTCATTTACCTTTCCGCCGGAGTGGTACCTATTTATATACTTGCACTTTGACGTGCTTTCGAACTGCTAGGTTGGCAGGAGCAGGGACCGAGCAATGGGAGCTCACCCCGTCGCGGGGATTCGAACTGCCGACCTTCTGATCGGCAAGTCCTAGGCTCTGTGGTTTTACCCACAGTGCCTTTTCCCCCCTTCACATACCCCAGGTGAAAGAATAAGGAAGTGGTAATTGTGATCCTGACATACTGTATGCCTACTCACAACATCATTGGGCAGTTGCACATGCATCAATTTTCATTGGTTTTTAAATAGACACGCCACAGCCTAATGCAGAATTAATCTCCAGTGAGCTGTTAGGGACAAATTTTTTTGCAATGGATCTTCATTGGGTGTGGACTATGTAGAAAAAACAAGTACTCAGTCTCCATTGATTCTGGAATTAAATGTTGCGTGTACATAGCTGCAGTCTAACCTTTTTAGAACCATCTAGTCGTTTTAGAATTACAAAGATTTTAATAGCGGGCCACTGAACTTCACCTCTCTATTTATTGCATTACCTAATCTCAGAAGCTTGGTACAAGTGACATTCAATATGGAGCATAGATAAAATGCTGTTAAATCATTGCATTAAATATGGATCCCATTTGGCAAGTCTCCCAGGGATGGGAATTTCATTGCTGAAAGGCAGCCAGAGGGGACACCTTTCTGTGAGTCCTTGCTGTGGAGAGTTAGTGCAGAGGTGGCATTACGAAGGGAAGCCCTCTTGGCTGATCTTTAAAATGCGACTAGGAAACTACCCTCAGAACTGGTGGTGAGTTTCCAGGAGAAATAACAGAGTGCATGTGTGAGGCCTGGGCTAACAGTGTGCTGTCAATTAGACCAACCTGAGCGAGGTTTCGTAAGTTAGAGTTGGGGATAAGGTCAGAAATCCAAGTAGGGTTACTTGGCTACATGAGCACTTTTGCTCAAATGAATTACATGAGTAAAACGCATAGTGGGCAAACTTCACCTTGATCAGACGCCCCCGTTCCTTCAGCCTTGAGCTTTACTTGTGCTATCCCTTCCCTTCAACAAAGGGAAAAGTGAAACCTCACCTTGAAGGGAGAGTGAGTGGCAGGTGTCAGAAGGCCTCCTTGGTGGTAAATGATGCTCTGAACATCTTTGGGAGTTTCTCCTCAGGCAATATTCTTAGGGAAGGCAGGGGAAATTCAGTTAAATTTCTCAGAGGTAACCCTCATTATTTCTTCTGCTAAGGTATGGGACCACCTTCTGTTGCCATGAGGAATGGGTGGATGCTAGACTTATCTTCAAAAGTTACCCATTATCTCACTAGTGATTATGTTTCTTAAATACTAATAATAATAAATAGAGTTCTGAGAGAGCTTTCATGTAGTGCCAGGAACTGCCATTTGCAGAGGTGTGTTGCCTCGTATTTAAAGTTGCCCCTGAGATCTGTCAGAGCAACAGAGAGCATTTTGAAGCATTAATATGGAATAATGGTCTCTGACAGCCATAATAGACTCCATGCTGCAGCCACAAATACTGGGCCAAAGTATGTTGCTTCCCTTACGAGGGCAAAAGGAAAACACTTTAATTACAAAATACAACTGAAACACGAAGACGTTCTTAGAGTTGATTTTTTGATTTTCTCAAGAGGTTTGACTAATGGGTAAATCTGGACAATTTCTGACTGCTGATTAAATTTACATTTACCTTCAGTGTTTGTATTTGATTAGAGCTGGAGGGCTGCAAGACACGAGGCCATAATGGGTAGAGTTAGAATCAATTCAAGCAGTTGCACCATTAGTACAAAGTTACTTAATTGTGAATTCAGAGCTGGCAAGCAGCCAATTTTAAGCTGCACCAGTGCTTTCTTCTGACTTTCCACAGGTGTACCAGCATCCTCTGTGGTGGATTTGGCAGAGAGGCACTTCCACCGCATCCAAACACCTTCTAGCCAATCAGTCTGCAGATTAGGATTGCACTCTTAAAACCACCAGGGTTCTCTTATTCTCAGCAATCACTTGGAGTATTTTAATTGGGATAAGCTATGATGTTGGTTGGGACGCGGGTGGCGCTGTGGGTTAAACCACAGAGCCTAGGACTTGCCGATCAGAAGGTCGCAGTTCGAATCCCCGCGACGGGGTGAGCTCCCGTTGCTCGGTCCCTGCTCCTGCCAACCTAGCAGTTCGAAAGCACGACAAAGTTTAAGTAGATAAATAGCTACCTCTCTGGCGGGAAGGTAAACGGTGTTTCCGTGCGCTGCTCTGGTTCGCCAGAAGCAGCTTAGTCATGCTGGCCACATGACCCGGAAGCTGTACGCCGGTTCCCTCGGCCAATAAAGCGAGATGAGCGCCGCAACCCCAGAGTCGGTCACGACTGGACTTAATGGTCGGGTCCCTTTACCTTTACCTATGATGTTGGTAATAGCTATTTATTGAACCTAATCTAGATTGTGAAACTAGCCTCATGCATCGGTGTTTTTACAGATTCCAACTAACTGCAGCACTGGTACAGGCTAACTGGGCAATCCACTGTGTGATAAATTTGCACAAGACACACTTTTAGGAGATTCCAGTGTCATGTACAGAGATAGTCATCAGTGGCAAGGACCAGATTCTTCAGTATGGAGAAAGAACAGTGGCAGTATTGTAAAGAGGAACCTGTTGTAATATGTTTCTATAGCAACTGAGGAAACTGTTGCTGTGATAGAAGGGGGGGGGAGAGTTACTATGACAACAGATGGAAACTTTTGTAATTTGAGGAAGTTGGAGAGAACATTGCTATTACCTCTAATGTCAGCCAGGTAATTAGTGATGGGAAGGAGCATTTCTATGTGTTTTATTGCCAACTGTATTTTTTTAGGAATAAAGAAATTATTAAGTTTTCATAATCTTTTTCCTCATGAATTAAAGTCTTTATTTTGCTTCCAAGGGGTTCTGTGTTTTATAATGTGTTTGTGTGCGTGCATACATGCAAAAAAGGCAGAGGGGATGTTCAAGACCACAAATTAAAATGTTTCTTAAATATTTTGCACTACGTGGCAGCGTTTCTTGAACAGAGGAGTCATGAGGATTGCACTGTGCACAGATAGGTGCTTTGGCAGTTTTAGAATCAGGAGAAATAATCCAGTAAACTGGTCTTCTCCCCAAAGCACCACTTCAACAAATGGAGGTTGTACAGCAGGAACATTGAGTGAACTCTTGTAAACATATCTTAACATGTTTTCAGATAATGGTTCCCACAGCAGGGGCATCACCAGAAAGCATTATAACCAGTGCTTTTTTTTCCTGGGGGGACGCAGGGGTATGCAGTCCCCTAAACATTTTGTGAATCTTTGTACTTTTGTCCATTTATTGTATTTATTTTTCCCGATTTGAACTATAAAATGGTGATTTTCTTGAGTCAAAATGCAAGTACCCCTAAGCATTTTTTTAAAGAAAAAAAGCACTGATTATAACTATAAATGGAAAACATGATCTATTGGTACAAACCAGCTGCCATGGTTCCTTTTGGGAATACTAAGGAACAAGGCAATCTTGAGAACGGAACAGTTACAGTGATATAATACTTATATGGCGGCCACTGGAAGTGGGTGTTTGTATGTGTAATGCAAATAGTGGTCTCCCCCCTCCAGAATACCATCACAGTCCTATTATTTAAGTATTTAACAAAATTTATATACTGCAGAATCAAGCCCACCCTCAACTGGGAAAGTAGAGAGAGGTTGTGAGGCAGCTTCTGCTTTCAGACAAAACCAGTTTGCACTCAGCCTTTCAGCATTTTTTGGCAGATTATTGTTATCTATTGATAAAGCTGTGGTACAAGTTAACCCAACTCTTTATTTTTGGAATGGGGGGGGGCAGAAATAAAGGATTGTTTTAAGTGAAATGTTAATACATTTACAAACTGGTGATCTGTTTTTTTTCCATTGTAAATAATTAGTTCTAATCTGCTTTCATTGCAGGAATACCAAATTGATATTTTTTTTGCTCAGACATGGACTGACAGCCGTCTTCGTTTTAACAGCACCATGAAAAGAAGTCTCACCCTGAACAGCAATATGGTTGGGTTAATATGGATCCCAGATACTATCTTCAGGAATTCTAAAACTGCAGAAGCTCATTGGATTACTACACCTAATCAGCTCCTGAGAATATGGAATGATGGGAAGATCCTGTATACTCTAAGGTAGGAAGTTAATGTTTGTCCCTTTCACATCATTTAAACTTTATAAAATAATGTCTGGAGGCAGGCAAACTTTGGCTTAAATTTGGCATCATCCCTGAGTTCTTGACCTAGATCTGGAATGAGTTAAACTCTTCGGGCAACCTGTTCCTCTACAAATGCATTAAGTTGATCTGATGACCCACATAATGGGTTGTGCTGATGCACACAGCAGCATCTTTGTGGTCAGATATGACAAGGTTTGCTATCCTTCATATAAATTGCAGTCCCAAAACTGAACCAAAACCAAACTCGCAAATGTTAGCCTTTAATGCTCTGACCCACCAGTTGCCAACGTTTGTAGGGTATTGACATTATTCTTAATTTTATTTGTTAAATGTGTTTACCGCCCTATACCCACAGGTCTCAGGGTGGTTCACAACATGAAAACACAATATAAAAACACAAAATACATAATAAACATGGAAACAAGAACAACCCAATAACCCCCCTCTGACCTTGAATATTTGCCAGTTGCTTCAGTAGAGGG